AACCCGAGGTGTGGACATGCAGTCGCTGCTCGTGGTCATGGGCCAGGTCTTTGCTCCACAGATACTTGAGTCTCGAGCGTGGCCTGAGAGCGTCAAGAAGGACCTCTCGGGCCACTTGCACAAGTTTATGGCTTCACTCACTGAATCCACATTTGAAGCACAAAGAAAAACGGTGCTGTATTTACCGTCCGGTAACTTCCTGCCCGATGTGATTACCGCCGCCAAAAATAAGGATTTAGTTCAGCAGTTGGAGTCGATAGTTATCAGCTGGACACGTCAAATAAAGGAAGTGGTCAACAGCCACGACAATGCGTATCACGCCGAAGTATCAGGGCCCCTCGAAGAGATTCAGTTTTGGCGCTCACGAACGGTGGATCTCTCCGGGATATCGCAGCAACTTCAGAGAGAAGACGTTCGACGTGTCGTCTGTGTTCTCGAGGCGTCTAAGTCGTCATACTTGGCGCGGTTCGAGTCCCTGGTAAAAAAAATTCAAGACAACTCCATCGAGGCTAATGACAATCTGAAATTTTTAGAACACCTGGTCGCACCTTGTGAGGCACTGGCGAGCTCCGATCCTTCTGGTACGTAGACGCTTCGCTACGGGAAAAGCCACTCCCCCGATGACATGAGAGCGCTGATTTCAAATCCCAATTAGGCATCTGTCAGATACTTCCGGAGCTTCTCGCGTATATACGGATGATTTGGACTTTGTCTGGTTCTCACCTGTGTTGTTTTGGCGACTTGGTTGTTGCATTACACTCTTAATTTGCACTTTTCGCAATTTTCTCAGGGTTCTACAACAACGAAAACCCAGAACGCCTCACTGGGCTGTTGCGTAAGATTTCTAATGAAATCATACACCGTTGTTGCGCCAAGATATCACTGGGCGAGGTTTTTGACGGTGACGTCGAGGGTTCGATGGTCAATCCAAGGAAACCCGTGTCTCGGCACTCGCACGCAAACTTATTTGAGGTTTCATCGCTGGCAGGTTGCACTTGATGAATCAATTCAGTGTGGTGTCCTGTGGAAGCGCATATACCGCCGCACGGCTGCTGCTATTCGAACCGCGCATCCTAGTGCGCCACGCTTGCACTGGACGTTTGATGATGCATCCATTTTTGCACAAATCGATGCTTTTGTGCAACGCTGTCGTGACCTGCTTGAAGTATGCGAAGGCCAAATTCAGTTTTGTCGAAAATCTTCTGAGACACATGGCAGACCAGGGTCGCTACCTCGGTTTGGGGGCACGCGCGGCCACGAGATTACGAAGGCGTTGATCGAAATACAGGACCAATTCGAGCAGCAGATCGACCGTCTACGTAACCTTGACTACGAGATTTTAGATGTCAAGACAAGCCATTGGCACGACGACTACAACGTGTTCAAAAATTCCGTGAAAGATCTCGAGGTGATGTACACCAATGTGATGAACACTGCATTTGAAGGGGTCACCCGCGTTTCTGAGGCTGTGGCGGTTCTGGAAATTTTCTATTCCCTTGCAAAGCGAGATGCTATCCAGCGCTGCGTCGAGAAAAAAACAGTCGATATGTACATGCTCTTCATTCACACGGTCGAAGAAATTCGCCATGACTTCGATGAGAATCGCAGAGCGCCTCCGCTGCGCAAGCAATGAGCCAAAATGGGCTGGGTCGGCCCTCTGGGCCAAATCTCTTGCACAGATTGTACAGGACTCGTGGAGTCTCTTGCAGAGCGCAACGTGCCTTCCGCCAATAATCTGGGCATTCGGTGTCTAAAAATCTGGACGAATTAGTTTATCCTAGCAGGATAGATCTTTTTCTAGGTATTTGACGCACACGAGGGAAGCCGACGAAGCAGAGGCTGCATACAAAGTGCTCATGGGCGTCCTGAACGACTACAAGGCAAGCCGCTACAAGGGATGGGTGGATTCTATGGAGGCTTTGGATTCGACCATGCTGCAGGCGCGCCTTGACAATCCTCTGATGAAGCGAATGGAGAGGTCCGCTGCGACAGAGGAAGTTTTGCTCGGTGCAACTCCTGTTTTGAACAAAGGTAAAGATAGTCTTCTTGAGTGTAACTTTGACAGAGGGCTGCTCGCGATGTTCTCTGAAGTGCAGTATTGGGAGAAATTCCAGGGCGAGTTCTCCATTCCCTATGTTGCTCATGATATCTGTAATCAGCGAGAAAAGCTTCGTGTGATGCGGGAGCATGTCATGTTGATAGTCAGGGCGTATAATGCGATCCTTTATGACCTGACTGTCGAAGAACGCCGTCTATTCTCCGATCACATCCGAAAACTCGACAAGCGTATCAATCAGGGTCTCCAGAAGTTGACATGGGCCACGAAAGGTGTTGTTGAGCATTATGTAAAAGACTGTTGTAATCACTGCGGAGAAATACACGCAATTGTGCGTCGATACAAGGAGGGGAAGCACAAGATATCCCGCGAATGTCGACTTACGGCGTCCCTTCTCTTGCTTCGAATCGATAAGAATGCTATATATGACGAGGGTATTTTTGAGGCAAAGCAAGCAAACCACCGCACTGAGGTGAAGCGACGCTTTCAACAGAGCCATCAAAATATAAAGCAGGAGCTCCGAGATATGTTTGTCAATTTTCGCGAGGGTACCTCCGAGGTACAACGTGAATGGCGGGAACTCGTCAAGGAAGTCGACCGCGAGGTGGAAGTCTCGTTGCGGCAGACAGTCAAACGCAGCCTACAGGAGTTGAGCCGAGCTATCAATGGCGACGCTAAATCTGAACCACAGACTTTGTTTGGTGTCAAAATAGTGCTTGAAAACAGCCGCATTGATTATCGACCAACGATGATAAATCTTACGCACGTTGTCAACATTGTTGCAAAGGAGCTTATATCGACAGTCGCAGTTGTCCCACGCTTGCGCGAAGTGCTAGTTGCCGAAACAGAAAAGCCGCCGGCCCATGCTACAACTAATACTGATGAAGACGACGGCGTTGTGCGATCCGAACGCCATCCTTCATTTTACTCAGTAATCTCTAATGACGAAGACATGCTCAAGATTGTGGTCCAAATTATGAATGGGATGTCATCTACCGCAACCGAGCTTCAAAAATATCTTGGGCGCGCCATCCGCGTGGAAAGTCCTTGCTGCTACTCTTGTCACTCCTGCACTTCCGCAAGTTCTTTTGATGATGTTCGCGCAGGTACTGGGAGAAATATAAGCCCATATGGGAGATGGACAAGGAAGCCTACATCCGACGTTATGCCAAGGCAAACCGAAGTCTGAAGAACTACAATGATGATGTGACTAAGTACAAAGATCAACAAGCCGAGATTCAACAGGAGAACATGACCCACATGATTAATTTTGTGCAACTCGATTGCACACTCCTCAAAGGGCATCTTGTTGCCCATTGCCAACAATGGCAGCAAAAGCTATTGGGACTCCTGAATCAGAACGCTCGCCAGGGGCTAGACTACCTTCACGACTTATTTTCTGATAACACTCGCACACTGCGAGCAACACCCCTAAATTTAGAAGAGCTCTCTGATAAAATTCGTACGCTACAGGAGCTTCGACGCAATAGCCCAGCCATCGAAGCAAAAATCCCCCCAATAGATGAGATGTCATCTCCGAATATCAGCTCCATTCTTTGGAGGAGCTGAGTCTTTCTCTCTGACTGATTTAACAATGAGATACGCGTGACTTTGCTCAGGTACGCAACGTTGGCGAAGTTCGACGTCCAAATCGCATCTGGTGAAGTGGCAAAACTTCAGCAGCTACGACCTGCTTGGAAGGATTTCCTCGAGATGCTCGATGAATCACAGCACTCTTTGGACAAGTCAAAGGTCAATATGAAGCGAGATCTCGAGGCTAACTTGGAAAGTTACAGTCAACAAGTTATACAATTACGTGAGCAAGTCATCGTAGAAGTCCCCACATCCCAGGACCTATCGCCCGACGAAGCGTACTCCGTGATAAACGACTTCAAGCTCCGTGTCGAGGCGGTGCACGACCGCAAACGTGGACTTCGGTCCGGGCTTGAGATTTTCAATATAGAGTCACCTGATCATAAAGAGCTGCGAGACACTGAGCGTGACTTGGATCTCGCCGAACAGATTTGGACTCTAGCGCGCGAATGGACCCTTGCATTCGACCGCTGGAAGACGGGTCGTTTCAATGAGCTTGACATCGCGGAAATGGAGACTGCGGCCGGGCAATTTAACAAAAAGGTGGGCAAGCTAGGTCGTGAGATTAAGCGCTGGGGAATCTGGGAGCAGATGCGGACAAAACTGACAGAGTTCCTGCAGACAATGCCTTTGATCCAAGACCTTCGAAATCCAGCGATGAGGAAGCGCCACTGGGACACTCTGAAGAAAGAAATTCATCGGGAATTCGATGAAACTGGCGCGGACTTCACGCTCGAAGCTGTTTTCTCAACGGGCTTGAACGCAGTTCCGGATCTTATATCCGAATTAAGTGCCAACGCAAATAAGGAGCTAGCAATCGAGGAGTCTCTTAAAGATATCGAGACCCGTTGGGCGAAAATAGAGATCGAAATCACCAGCTATAAAGATACCTACTACAAGATACGAAGCACGGACGATTTATTCCAGGCACTCGAGGACGATGCAGTGTCCTTGTCGACTATGAAAGCTTCGAAATTTTATGGCTCCTTTAAGCCTCGTATCGATAAGTGGGAATTCGCCCTTGCGCTCGTCTCTGAGGTTATTGAACTGATCCTTACTGTACAGCGCAAATGGATATATTTGGAGTCGATTTTCATGGCATCGGAAGACATCTGTAAGCAGTTACCGAAGGAGTCTGCTCTTTTCATCGAAGTTAACACGACGTTTACCAGCATCATGTCATCTGCCGCTAAGCGACCAAATGCAATCGTGCAGTGCACCGCCAGCGGCATGCTCGAGAGCGTAAATGGTATGGATGAAAAACTGGAAGCGATTCAAAAGTCACTCGATTCGTGCTTATATGTGTTTCCGAAAGGAACCAAGTGTAGTGTAGTTCAGATCAAATCCTTTCAAAAAGCTTAAATTCTATGAGAAATGTGCTCAAAGGTACTTGGAAACCAAGAGGAATGTCTTTCCCCGGTGCGCGCAGTGTCGTTCAAAGGAACACGCCTACTCATGAGGAGTCCTGTGCTTGTGCGACAATGTGTGAGGTCAACTCATGCGACCGCAGGTTCTACTTCGTCGGCGAAATCGTCGCCAACAAAATTTTCCACGCGAACAACAACTAATTCTTAGGTGTCCGACGACGACCTTCTGGAAGTACTTGGTCAAAGTCGCGACCCGTTAGCTGTCCAAAAGCATATTAAGAAGTGCTTTGAAGGCTTCAAAGCTATGGAAGTAATCGCGCCTGGGAAGCAACTAAATCGCAATTTCGAGGTGATGCCTTGCCTCTGCCGAATGCATCAGGTTGACGATTTGTTCTGCATAGGCGATCGGGATGCGGGAGACCTCGACTGGCGAGACATGTGCGTTCGTCTCAAATGTCGTCCTAGATGGGGCAGTTGAAAACTGGCTCGTTGAGCTGGAGAAAGCCATGATTAGCTCAATGCAGAAACTGCTGGCTGGATCAGTTCAGGCCTTCAGAGGTAAAAATAAAGAAAAGTGGATCACGGACGTCCAGGGTCAACTCCTCATTACAACAGGGGCGATACAATGGACGAATGACTGTTCCAAGGCGCTCAACAATATCTCTAGCGGACAGAAGAATGCCATGAGACAGCTGAAAAAAAAACAGATAGGATACTTGACGCGTCTCACAGACATGATCCGCGGTCAGTTACCGAAATTAGTGCGGAAGAAATTGGTTGCATTGATCACCATGGAAATTCACAATCGCGATGTAATGGAGCGCATGATCAAGGCGGGCTGCTCGTCTGTGACAGATTTCGAATGGCTCTCGCAGCTACGATATCTCTTCAACAAGGACGAGGGGCAGTTTGGCGGCATCTGCAGTGTGCGACAGACAAACTGCTGGCTGCAGCGTCACATGCGTGATTCTACAGTTTCGCGCATATGACCTCTGGCCCCTCGCAGGCGTACTAGAATATGGATATGAGTATTCCGATACTGCCCATTGGGAAACCGGCGTTCTTCGAAACCAAATCAAATTGGTGAAGATCTGTTTCAGGTATCAGGGAAACAATGGCCGTCTGGTTGTGACGCCGCTTACAGATCGCTGTGTTTTGACTTTGCTAACTGCTAAGTTTCTCAATCGCGGCGGGAATCCCCTTGGTCCAGCAGGTAGCTAAACATTCTTGATATCGAATTCACGACTTAGTACTTCTCACAGGCACGGGGAAAACAGAAACGGTCAAGGATCTCAGCAAGAACCTTGCTATGCGGCCTACCTGAGCTTTGATTTAAGGCCTTGCACGGTCGACAATAGAATGAATCACTGTGGTTGCCGCCGCAGGTATTGCGTGGTCATAAATTGTGCGTTTTGTACGCGTCTTATCCCATGTGGCATGGGCCTCATATGGACGAGCCGGCAACGCAGGTTCAGATGGTATGGACTATAAATCGGTCGGGCGAATATTCTCCGGGCTTTGTCAAGCTGGCGCCTGGGGATGGTGCGTCCGGTGGTGTTCCTTTTATTCGTTTCATCGCGCGCGCCTCCCTCCGCAGCTTCGACGAATTCAATCGTATCAAGATTGAAGTCATATCTGTCGTCGCGATGCAGGTTCTTTCCATTGTCAACGCTTTATCACAACATGCAGAAACATTTAACTTTATGGGCTCATCAATTCGATGTAACGTCAACTGTGGACTCTTCATAACCATGAATCCTGGTTACGCGGGCCGCACAGAGCTTCCCGACAATCTGAAAGCTCTAATGCGCCCGGTCGCTATGATGGTCCCTGACCTTGCGATGATCGCTGAAGTCATGCTGAGCGCAGAGGGCTTCACAGATGCGCGTGTTCTTTCAAAAAAAACAATCACGCTGTATTCACTGATGCAGCAGCAACTCAGCAAACAAGACCACTACGACTATGGGCTCAGGAACTTGAAAGCAGTTCTGAACATGGCGGGCTCTATCAAACGTGCAGACCCTTCAACGAACGAGGAGGCGATCCTAATGCGTGCATTGCGTGACATGAATTTGCCAAAATTCATCAAGGATGACGAACGTCTTTTTCGTCTGCTTCTCGGTGACTTATTTCCATCTCTGGAACTACCAGTATCTGAGATTGGGGACCTTAGCGCTGCTCTTGAAGCAGAATTGAAGAGTGAAGGCCTGCAGACACACCCTTTCCTCTTGTTTAAGATTGGGCAGCTATACGACTCCAAGCTCACCCGACACTGCAACATGCTTGTCGGGGCGACTCTCTCCGGTAAGAGCACGGCATGGAAAACGTTGGCAAAAGCAAAAACTTCACTCGCAAAGAGTGGAACCGATGGTTATGTTCCTGTCACTTCCTTTGTTATCAACCCGAAATCCATAACACTGACAGAGCTGTATGGAGCGTACGATCTTACGACGTTTGAGTGGGCAGATGGTATTCTATCAACAATTTTCAAATCCTGCGCTGAATCAGATAAACCTGATGAAAAATGGGTTTTGTTTGGTGAGTGTTGTTATTATTTACCGCGTTAAATGAACTTGTTTATTCGCACAGACGGGCCTGTGGATGCAATGTGGATTGAATCCATGAACAGTGTCATGGACGATAACAAAATCTTGACGCTAATCAATGGGGATCGGATCCCATTAACCTCATCGATGAGCTTGTTTTTTGAAGTTGAGGACCTCAGGGTGGCGTCCCCGGCGACCGTCTCGCGTGCTGGTATGATCTTCGTTGACCAAAGTGAGATGGGGTTTGGATCATTTGTGGAATCGTGGCTTGACCGCGTGTTTGGGAGCCAGGTTGAGATTCGAAATTTTCAGCACGGACTTTACGAGAAGTATGTGCCTAAAATTCTGGATTTCAAGGGAGCTAACTGCGAAGAACCTGTCGCCACCTCTGACTTTAATGCTGTCATGTCCCTTACACAACTCTATGAGACGCTCCATACCAAAGAGAATGGCCTGGATACGGCCATGAACATGCAGGCATACAGCGCGTTGGCAGAGAAATGGTTTGCATTTGCGGTGACCTGGTCTCTCATGGCTGCCGTGGACGAAATTGGTCGCAAAAAGCTAGACGTGCATTTGCGGGATATCGAAGCACAGTTCCCGCCCACTCATACTGTCTACGATTATTATTGCGATCCCAAAAAAGGAGATTTCGAATTGTGGGATAGCACCCTTACGGCATGGCGTCCCCGAAAGGGGGATCCCTTCTTCAAAATGATCGTGCCAACGACAGATACTGTTCGTAATTCATTCCTTTTCAGCACAGTAGTATCGTCTAGGCGCAATTTACTGGTTGTGGGGAGCACTGGAGTTGGTAAGACAGTCCAGGTGGCGAGCCTTCTCTCCAGTTTACCGAAGGCAAACAGTAGCCTGACCATAAACTTCTCCGCTACCACGAAATCAAGCACCCTCCAAGGGATCGTAGAGGGTGCGATGGAAAAGCGCTCGAAAGATAAGCTGGGTCCCACTGGAGGCAAGCAACTGGTGCGTTTGGCACATTCAGATTCAAGAGTCCTCACTACCCTCAACTCAGGTCGTCTTCATAGATGACTTCAATATGCCGCAAAAGACATCAGCCGAATCCCCCTTCCAGCCTCCTCTTGAGCTGCTTCGGCTTTGGATGGACTACGGAGGTTGGTACGACCGCAGCAAATGCGCGTGGCGTTTTGTATTAGACACGCAGCTCATTTCGGCTATGGCACCGCCATCCGGTGGACGGGCGGTGATTTGTAATCGGACCCAAGCTCGATTCCACCTTGTCAACGCAACGGCACCGGACGATGCTCAACTGACAAGAATATTTGAGTCGATCTTGACGCCCAAACTCCAGGAATTTGACAACGAGATCAAGCCTATGGGGCGCCCCTTGGCTCTGGCTACCATAGCACTATATCAGACGGTGATAGACAAGTTCCTCCCAACCCCTGAAAAAAGCCATTACCAGTCATCAAACTCAGTGTAGTGACGCAATCATTGTACTTTCAACTAGAGTCACCAGGTTTAACTTACGTATTGTGCTTCCGTCTGAATCAACGTGTCTTCTCAGTAGTGCCGAATTATCTCACCAAGGCTGACATTTAACAGGCTGCACTGCCTCCCTCACAGGTGACGTTGCCAAGGTGGTTCAAGGTACGCTTCAAGCAGAGAGGCAACGCTTTGACACTTCTCAATCGATACTGCGGCTTTGGGCACACGAGTGTATGCGTGTGTTTGCCGATCGCTTCCTACAAGATAGCGCCGATGACATGGGAAGATTCATTGACATATTGGGTACAAAAATGCGAGATAATTTCGAGGATGCCGAGTGGAGTTCGGTCATGGGAGATGTTGATGACGAGCGCTACGGTCCGATCATCTGCAGTTTCATGGACGAAGGTGCGGAGACGCTCTCATATGAAGAGGTCAGCGACTTTGCGCAACTCAAGCAGCGCTGTGAAGATAAGCTCGAAGACTACAACCTCGAACCTAAGCTGATAAACATGAATCTCGTTCTCTTCAAGGACGCTGTGCGACATGTTTGCAGGATCCACCGTACTCCCGGGGCCTTTTTTGGCAAAGATGGGTCATTTTGAAGCAGGCCACTTCAAAACGGGGGCAAAGTGGCTGTCGGACTTTACGCGCCCAGATTTGCCCTCTTGATTGCACTTAATTTGCAAGTTAAGTATCCTCTTCTGTAGGGGTTCTGATGATGCCTCGCGGAAACACGATGCTCGTGGGCGTAGGAGGTTCTGGACGCCAATCCTTAGCACGTCTCGCGTCATACATTGCTGATATTGGCGTGTTCACAATCGAGATAACAAAGCAATATCGTCTAGCTGAATGGCATGAAGATATAAAGAGTCTTTTTGAAACAACGGGGTTGCTGAACAAATCTACTACGTTTCTGTTCAATGATACACAACTCAAGGAACAGGGCTTCCTCGAAGATATTAATAACATCTTAAACTCTGGTGAGATCCCCAATTTGTATGGCAAGGACGAACTTCCCGGTATATACGACGGGGTTCGCAAGAGGGCGGTCGACGCCGGATCGGAGGGCACACCGGATGAACTCTGGTCTTTTTTTGTTGAATGCATTCGATCTAACCTACATCTAGTCCTAGCGATGTAATAGAACATATCATGGCAGTCAGTGTCAGCGAATGAGCTTTTTTTATCGCCAGATCTTGATCTAGGTCACCCGTTGGGTCAGCGCTGCGTACAAGGTGTCGCTTCTATCCGGGCCTCATCAACAATACGACGATAAACTGGTTTCATCGCTGGCCAGCTGATGCGCTCAGCGCCGTTGGAACTGCATTCCTAGTTGACATGTCCCTGGATTCGGATGAAATGCGTGTTAAAATCTCCTCTATCTTTTCTATCGTCCATATAAGCGCTCAGGACTCGTCAGATCAAATGCTGGTCGAGCTCAAGCGCCACAACTATATCACTCCCACCCACTTTCTAGAGCTCGTGAAGGGCTATCGCCTGATCTTGATGGAAAAGCGCGCTGAGCTTGGTAATGCGAGGGACAAGTTGGCAAACGGACTCGCAAAACTCGTCGAAGCACGCGATGGCGTGCAAGTCATGTCGGTTGAACTAGAAAAAAAGAAGGTCGTGTGTGCACAATCACAAAAGGATTGCGAAAACCTTCTTGTGGAGATTGTTTCGGAGCGACGTGTAGCTGACGAACAGCGCAAGCAGGTAGAGGCCGATTCAGAGAGAATAGGCCCGTCACAGAGTGTATGCATAGTAGCAGAAGGCTCCCACCCGCCCACCCCCCCGGTCCCACCCCCCGCGTGCGCCACCGACCGGGTACCTTTCTGCGGTACTCTGCAAGGTAGTGACTCATTTTTATCTGCGCGTGAATTTAGGTAAAGAAGAGATCGAATGCAAGGCAATAGCGGATGATGCCGAGGCGGAGTTGAATGTTGCTCTGCCGGCTCTACAGAAAGCAATGACTGAGGTTGAGAAGCTCGATAAGGGCGCTATTTCTGAAGTCAAGGCATACAAAAGCCCCCCCAAGCAGGTGGAAACAGTACTAGCTGCAGTGATGATTCTTTTTAGCAAGCAGACGGACTGGAACACAGCAAAAAAGGTGCTCGGTGAAGCCAATTTCTTGCAGAGTGTCAAAAGCTACGACAAGGACAATGTCAGCACTGCGATCATGAAGAAAATTAAGGGATATGTTTCTCATGCAGATTTTAAGCCAGAGGCGGTTGGTGCGGTGTCAAAGGCCGCCGGGGCCCTTTGCACATGGGTTCATGCGATATATATTTATGCTAATGTTGCAAAAGAGGTGGCCCCCAAGCGAGCTCGGCTGAAGGGAGCACAGGAATCGCTGGCCGGCAAACAAGCTTCGCTAAAGAAGGCCCAGGAAGAACTTGCAGAAGTGACCGCGAAGGTCAATCGACTCAAGCAGAAATATGATGACTCTGTTGGTGAAAAGAACCGACTGCGTGCAGAGGCAGATCAAATGCAATTGTTGCTCGATCGAGCAGACAAGCTTGTCAAAGGTTTGGCAGGGGAAAATGAGCGATGGCAAATAAGCATTGGCCAATTTCAAGGAGAGATAACTCGATGCCTTGGTAATTCACTCGTGGCTGCAGCATTTTTATCATATGCGGGCCCGTTCGACACACTCTACCGATCCCGTCTTGTCTCCTGCCGGGGTGCTTTTCAAAACTAGAACATGTATTCGGAATTTCCTGTAGGTCAACGCCTGGCTAGCAGCTGTAAAGGACAAGCAGCTCCCGTATACTGACAGCCTCACATTTGCTGGATTTTGTGCTCGCCCAACTGATGTTAGGCAATGGAACATACAAGGACTCCCGGCAGATGACTTCAGCACTGAAAACGGAGTAATAACCGTTCGCTGTTCGCGATGGCCGCTCATGATTGATCCGTAATCCGAACCATGCCGTCAGGGACCTTGCTGAGTGTCTTTTAAACTGAACATGTTCGTATATCCCGGTGATGCAGCCAATACACAGGCAAGGTCAAGCCAACAAGTGGGTTCGTCGCATGGAAGAGGCGGAGTTGCGCATCGTTGATCTAAAATCCAAGGACATGCTGCGCGAGATTGAAAATGGGATTGTCTATGGGATGCCAGTGTTGCTCCAGGATGTCCTAGAAGAGCTGGACCCTGCTCTCGAGCCAGTTCTTGCCAAGGCCTTGATCAAGGTTGGCAATCGTGAAGTGCTACGATTGGGCGACAAAGAACTTGACTACAATCAAGAATACCCCAGCGTCCGATCTCAGCCATTTGCGCTTTCTTTAGCTCGTTGTCAAGGAACCTCCACGAAAGAGTGGGGTGGGGGACGAACCGAAGGTCAACAACAGACACATCATTAACGAATCTTTCGTAGGAGTTCAAGCTGTATATTACGACAAAGCTGGGAAATCCGTGCTCAATCGGTGTTTGCAGTTTGTAAGGGCAAACGTGCTAAAAGATGCATTCCATTCAGGCATTATACGCCAGAAGTTTCGACCAAGACGACTATAATCAATTTTGCGGTGAAGCAGCAGGGCCTCGAATCTCAGCTCCTTGGCATTGTTGTGCAAAAGGAGCAACCGGCACTTGAACGACAAAAGTCGGACCTTACCTTGCGTGTAGCGGCTGGGAAAAAAAAATTGGTCGATCTTGAGGACGAAATTCTTAGACTTCTCTCTGAGACAGAAGGTAGTCTCCTCGACAATGAAAGCCTCGTGGACACGTTGCAGCAGTCCAAGGTCACATCTGATGAAGTCTCCCGCCAGCTCAAGGAAGCTGAGGAGACAGAAGTGCGAATTGATGCCAAGCGTGAGGAATTTCGTCCAGCTGCCATAAGAAGCTCTATCGCATACTTCGTCTTGGATGACATGAGCCGTGTCGATCCCATGTACCAATTTTCTCTTGATGCCTATGTCGATCTATTTAACCAGTCCATGGACGCTAGTCGCAGCAATGCCAAAAATGTTGGCGGGGCAGATAGATGCAAACAGATAAATGCGTGGCACACTCTAGCGGTGTACCAATACACCTGCCGTGGGCTATTTGAACAGCATAAGCTTTTATTTGCATTGCAACTCTGCCTGCGCATCATGACAAGTGAAAATAAGATCCCCAAGCAAGAATTTGACTTCTTCTGTCATGGCGGTGTGGTTGTCGATCGTTCAGAACAGCGTCCGAATCCATGTCCTGAGTGGATCGATGCGGGTACGTGGGATAACATCACGGAACTGGACAATATTCCTGCATTCATGGGCATCGCCTCGGCATTTGAACAGGGGCATCGAGATTGGAGGGCGTGGTTCACCTCTTCGAAGCCAGAAGAGACCCCTCTCCCAGGTGCTGTGCGCATTATTATGATCAGCGCCAATTTGCTGAGCTAATTTTCTCCTTAGGTGACTGGGAGAATAAAGTCACGGAGTTGCAGCGCATGTGTATCATTCGCGCACTCAGGCTAGATCGTGTATTATTTGGCGCCACGCGTTTTGTCAGTTTGAATTTAGGGCCACAGTTCGCAGATCCTCCACCGTTTGACCTGAGGGCGGTGTATGAATCGTCGACGCATCGCACGCCACTTGTATTCGTTCTGTCACCGGGCGTCGATCCAACTGCGCAAGTGAATGGTCTAGCTCGGGAACTGGGTATACGCATCGATATTTGCGCTCTTGGTCAAGGACAGGCGCCCGTGGCGATGAACCTGATCACCGCCGGTCTGAAGGAGGGCTCGTGGGTGTTTCTTGCAAACTGCCACCTCATGCTAAGCTGGATGCCTGAGTTGGAGAAGCGTATCTCCGAGTACTGTGCTCTGACCGAAGATTCACCGAATGCACCGCACTGGGACTTTCGCCTGTGGCTCTCGGCTAGTCCTAGTCCCAATTTCCCGATTGCGATCCTGCAACGAGGTATTAAAATGACCACTGAGCCCCCTCGTGGGCTGCGCGCCAATATGACCCAGCTTTATAATTTGGTCAGCGACGAACAATTTGCACGATGTCAGCAGCGCTTTAAATACAAGAGATTATTGTTTTCGCTATGTTGGTTCCACGCAATCCTACTCGAGCGACGCAAATTCAAGAGCCTCGGTTTCAATGTCCCATACGAGTTCAACGAGTCAGATTTTAGCATCTGCCATGACCTTATCATCGTCTTTTTGGACGAGTACGCAGATCGCACGCCGTTCCTAGACATGGCCTCAGCCGTCTTACGTGTCCGATTCCTCTCAGACTTACATCTGCACCAAAAATGCACTTATCCCAGCCTACATGGCCTGTAGGTTTGATGCCATGCGATACTTAATTGCGGAAGCCAACTACGGGGGTCGTGTCACAGATGCCCTCGATCGACGACTCGTGGGCGTGTACATAAACCAATTTTTTTGCGAGGATGCAATTGACCCACAGATAAATTTCAGCCTGGCCCCACAGCAGCAAGACAGTCCGTATCTGATACCTAATGATGGTGATCTCCTTTCCTGCAAAGAGGCCATTAAAAATTTTCCCCAGTCTGATGCCGCGCTTGCGTTCGGCCAGCACGCGAATGCAGACATTTCATCGCAGATTGAGGATTCGAATCGGCTTCTCGAGACGATCGTATCGCTTCAGCCGAAAACAGTAGTTGAAGGCGCGGAAACAAACGAGTGCAAAATATTGCGAAGCTGTCGCTCGATGCAGGAGCAGGTCCCTCCAATTTTCGAGCTGAAGGCCGTGCGGAAAACGATGGACCCACGCGCAGACCCAGAACCCATGAAGACGGTCATAGGCCGGAGTCGATTACAGCATGTGCCCTTTGACCCAATTGACAGACTCATCTACAGGTGCTCTATCAGGAGGTGGATCGGTATAACAATCTCCTTCTAATGTTGCACCACTCCTTAAAAGACCTCGAGCTTGGTGTGCAGGGATTAGTTGTCGTCACACCCGAGCTCGAGGATGTCATGGAGGCCTTACTCGAATTCAAAGCTGGCTTCCTTGTCGCAAGTGCTTTCATAGTTTCATTCTCATCAATATAGGTGCCCGGTGCTTGGTCAAAGTGTTACCCCAGTCTAAAACCGCTTAGTTCGTGGATCCGGGATCTCGTCAAAGCACACTTCCTTTCCGGAAACCTGAGTTGTGAATGAGTGACAGCCGATTCATTTCACTCGCAACAAGCTGATTCATCTTTGATTCTCGGCTGACTTTAGGTGTCTAGGGTAGATGCGCTTCAAAGGTGGATTGATGAGGCTCTTCCACGATGCTTCTGGCTGCCTGGGTTCACATACCCGACAGGCTTCTTGACTGCATTGCTGCAAACCTCTGCACGGAAAAACGGAATTGCGATCGACACACTCAGCTGGGAGTTTCCTGTCGTGAATACCTCAGCACCCTCGATCACTCAACACGCAAAGGACGGGTCGTATTGCCACGGCCTTTTCTTGGAGGGTGCACGGTGGGATCTTGACAATGGCTGCCTGACCGAGCCAACTCCGATGGAGCTGTTCTGCTCCATGCCTGTGATACACTTCAAACCTGTTGAAAACAAGAAGAAATCTTCCAAAGGATTATATTCGTGTCCTCTCTACATGTATCCCCTGAGAACTGGGAGCCGAGAGCGACCATCCTTCGTCATTTCCTGTGACGTGAAGAGCGGCGTACAAACATCTGATTATTGGACGTTATCGTCGGCGTCTCACGAAACAAGATACTTTCTGAGAGAGAATTTCGAATCGTTTGCATATGCCTTTTCCAGGTGTCGGGGAACTGCGATGCTTCTCTCCACAATCTACTGAGTACTCGGAACCGAATCATTCTCCTCGACGGCTTTGCCACAACGTTGCTGATAGTTGCCATAGCAGCGCCCTGCTGGAGAGCCTTGCGACTTCAAAGCACTGCTCGGGCACCCTGGGGGACCAACTAAAAATTGGAATGCAACATTGCCCATACTGAAGGCAGCTCAGGAAATAGCGAGGACCTCCTACTATCAGCGGCCACGTCTAGGTTCCTTCCTAACTTGGCACCGTGAATTTACGGGGGGTGACACCAGGCCGCGACGCCGTCCAAGCGCGCGAGTATAGTGGCCTTACCTGGGCCAAATTGACGCGGGCGCTCCTTAACCGACCCCTCGCGTGTGGGAGAAGGGCCGGGGAGATAGGACTCGGAGGACGTCCAGGTGGCGATGGTGACCGCGCGCTAACAATATTTTTGAGAGCACATGGCTGCTACTAACAGCAATGGGGGGGTGGGATCAAGTGGGGAGGAGCTAAAGCATGTGAAGGTGGAGATGCATGATGTCCGAGTCACGGTGGCTATGGGCATGCCGTCAGAAGACGGCTCCGCTCCGTCTGCGCCTATTAACAAGAGCAGTCTCTCGCGACAGTGGGAGGGCGCTAATCACGCGCCCGCCCCATAACCTGTAAAGAATCTAGGTGGCTTGTGCCTCTAGTAGTGTCCTTATTTTATCTACAGCGAGCGACGGTGGATACATATCCAATTTTAGTGATGTTGCTCCTTCTTTTCTTTCCTACTCACTTCAAGGCTTAGCCCACTCAAGCGGTTGGAGGTGGGGAGCCTCCGATTCCATTAGCCCCCGGGCTAGAGTAGGGAGTCTGCCTAATTATTACCATACCCTAGTCCTAGAGTCAGGGCTGAGGGTGAAGTTCCTTCATATTTTGGTCCCAGCTACCGGAAACTGGAGTCCTCAGACCCCGCCGACTCTGCTTGCGCCGATACACCAGCGGATTTTGCGATTGACACTGCACATACCCTCCTCCGCCCCCGCTGAGGTGGATGCGCCCGGGCTGCGCCCTCCAAGCGCGGCCCGCTGGCCTCCATTCCAGGCATTCTAATAATCAGTCGAGCCCAGGCAGGGACCAAACTAGAGCGCGCCGAATCTCCCGGTCGAATTTCTCGTAGGCGCAACCCGCCTGTGGCGCTCTTGTGGCCAGGCTGGGAGTGGGCTTCCCTGATCCACAGGGTGGGGTTAGCTGGGCTAGATAAGACCAGCACTTGGCTTGAACCAGCGCGCTGGACAGACACCTAGAAAGAGCCGGGTGATTGCGCTACCGTCTAGATGGCCTTTGGTGAGTCGATTCTTGCATCTCGGAGAGCAAACTAACTTAACCGAACCGAAGCCCGGCTAGCTTCAACCGAATGGCTCCATGATTTTCCGCGCAGGGGTCTTAGTTATATGTCAGGGCGTTGCCCTGGGCACCACCCCGAAAAAACTGGTTCATCAGAAGCGCCGCCAGAAGAGCAATACCATAACCAGCAGCTAGACGAGAATGGGTACTCACCTGAAGCATGTGGTATGACATGAAAGCGATTCATTACCAGGTAGTGGTTGTGCTTAGGTCAGTAAACGAAATGAGGTCCATTTATCAGGCACCATCATGAAGTATTTTTCCATAGCTGCTTGGAATCTGTTCCGGTAATTTGGAGGTTGGATGACAGTAGGCTCCGCCTGGCCAGCTATCATACCTACAGACTTGCCCATGCGCTCCATCTTTTTTACGATGTCATATTGTCGCATGTAGTCAATGATCCCAACCACGAGCTGGTGATTTTCATCATCCATCCCAACGAGAATCGAGTAGTCGACAACATTTATGAGAGAGAGGAACAAGGTATCATTGAGCACGGCGTTGTTGAAGTAAGCCTTGGCTTGGTCGTGCAGGGGCAATGGTCGGCCTTCGGTAAACTCGACGAAATTCTCATCCAGAAGTACAGGCTGTGTCTGTGTGACTTTCGCAGATTGGTTCAACTCTCCAGGGGACAATTTTCCTGGTACAATCTTCATATCTCCATTAGAATTGACTCGAGCATATCGTGACCTCGTGCTGCCCTTGAGGTCAAAGGCTCTGGTGATCAGTCGCTCGTGAAACAGGTTCTCCATGACGACAACTTGCTCCATGATCCTCTTTCCGTTCACTCTGTTATGCGAGCCAATCTGGTAAACACCGAGGACCTTGACAAGTAGTGTGGAATAACGATGAAAAAATGCCTTGGATAAATATTCAAAGTACGCAGGAGCATACTCCAGAAACATTTGTAGCTCGGTTCGAGTTATCTGCTTAACCACGAATCGACCGTCTGTGCTTTTTAAGAACGTTGCACCTGACTTCCCGCCTTGTGCATTCCAAGGGCGGGCCATTGTCAGAGACCGCAGGAAGCCGAGTTCTTCTTCTTCACCTCTCCCACAATGAGCTTGCCGCACTGCAGCGAATTGAGTCGCCCAATAGGCTTGGCAAACGAATTTACAAAGCGTGTCCCCTTTCTCATCCACGTCCGCAAACCGGTGCTTTATATGCGTTTTGTGTGGGGACAACATTTGCCATTCAAGGTCCGTGGGGCACGCCTGTTTAGCTTCCAAGAGCTTGGGAGGCGTACTCGATCCGTGGACCATTTTACTTGGGCATATTGGGGATGTTATATCACAGTCGTCACTGCTTGCTGTTCTGGAATTCACATTATTCCGTTCCACCAAATTAGTCGGCCGTCTAAATAAAGCACTCAGGGTTTCTACAGGATCTAGCGTCGGGCGATGGTTGCACGCAGGAGGATTGGCTGTACTATCCTGTTCCAAAAGTGACGCGAGCCCTCCGGCCCATGGGTAGCTATCGACGTTTTCAGGGCAGGACGGTTCGCATGGTGCCACGATAGCGGTTAATCGAAGGGTGCTGCCAATGGCTCTTTCACCTCCTATACTAGATTCGCACGTGTGAGTCTTCTGTTGCTCATTAGAATCCATGTAGGTTGCTAAAGCGCGCCTGTAATGCAGTGTGCTCAAGCTATACGCAATGATGGTGGTAGGCTGCTCTTCATGCACTAGTAGCACCTCGCCGCGATCACCGGCCTCCAACCGTGGCCGTCCTCCTTCAAGTTCTCCGAGTGGTACAATCCATGGATCCTCCTCAGGGCTATCTTTGCCCAAAAGCCGAGCGAATGCACTCGAGATCTTGTATCCGCGACGGAGAGTCGCCCCACCAATTGCGCGATCCCGAGCAACGTCAGCCGTCGGTCGTCGGACTGCGTTCAATCCTGAGTCATGTTCACCTTCCGGCCGCAATGACGATTCACGCAAATCAGAGATGGGAGTATCAAAGGATGGGCGGTCTCCCTTGGCGAGCTCTTTGTTGTGGAATTCAAGAGCATTGTTGCCCGCTCGAGTCTCACTCGGTGCTAGCCGGAGACTCTCCGGAGATGTGGTTGTCAAGTCATGTTTTGATCCTAGTTCAGGCTCTTCAGGATGTGCATCTTCATGGAATTCATCTCCCTCGTCCTCTTCGACAACTGCATCATCTGCATCCTCATCTAATGCCAGCGATGCGCCTATGGCAGATGATGACACGTACGTGGGCTCTGTAAGGTTCTGCAGTCGTAGCAACTCTGCTAGTACAAAATCCAAATCAATGCTCCCAGGGGGAATGGCACCTGCGTGGCTAGGGTCAGTCCCAGCTCCTGCAGGAGGTCGGACTTGATCCCTGGTGGAATTGAGGAGCTGCCCCAACAGAGAGAATCGCTGATTCCAGTTACTACTCCTGATATAGAGTTCCCGTCTAAACTGAGTTGGAAACTGCATCGTTCTAAGATTGATTTGGCGAGACAGCTTGTCATGTCGAGCGACTTCACCAGCTAGCTCGCTTTGGAGCCATTTGGAGTAGCTTTGCAACTCGTGTGAAATTTGACTCAACTCAGCTAGTACTGCGGCTCGGAGGGAGGCGGCGAATTCTTTGAACTCAGACATAGGAGTCGAGGCATCCAGAACAGCTTCTAATTCAGTATGCTTTATATGAAACGAGTGGAAAAGTGTGATGCCAAGGTTCTGCACCCCAATGTATTGGGAGGCTAGTTCATTGTAGTGAAAGGTACTGTCAAACGGCAGTTGCTTGCGAACGCAAATATCATAGGGCTGGATCCTTTCGTAGTCGAAGCGTGCAACTAAGCTTTGACAGCCATAGTAGAACACGTGTTCGGTCTGTAGACAATGCCGACAGCCACCTGTTCGACAGCAAGCCGCCATATTGTAAAAGCGTACCTCCAAAAACTTCCCAAAAGACATTTTCCATGTATCTTCAGACATGGGAATCAAAGGGGTCACAATTCGCTCGCAGCGCTTGCAGTAACTCCACATGTAAATGGTCCTTTCGTAGTTCGGATTACGTGAATTCTCTACATCCTGACCTAGCATCACATTGCCAGGTATCGGCTGGTCCATTTTGACGACAGTAATCGGAATCCTGCCATCGTTGTGATAAAATATTTGCGTAATATCCAATACTGACTTTTTATCACCGTGGGGAAATTTTAGGTCCACATTAAAGCAAGAGTCAAGAAGAAACTGGCCGAGGCACACATCTTGGGGTGTATAATAGAGGATGCCCTTGACCTCAGCGGAAGCACATTGTGCCCGTTGACTCATCCACACACTGGTAACCAGCAAGCTCTGATGGTCAAATGCGGATGTTACTGGCAGATTCTTAATTACGTGTGTACCGGCACCAGATGAAAACGCCTGGGAATGGATTGCCCCATCCCCAAAGTCAACCGCTAAAGACGAAGATAGGAGTGCGCCATCAGTTGATTTTTCCGCCATTTTTGTATTCCTCGTTGCAGTACTTAAAGGTAGCATCGCTCCGGCATCCTTAAAAAAGGAGCATTCAAGGCGCAGATGGTAGGCTATAAATACCGCAAATCGAACCATTTGCTTAATTTGTTTCAGTTTAGATATGTTTGCACCACGCAGTACCAATGTGCATCCAAGAACTTTCGGGGAGCCCGTGAGGTAGACATAGCTAATATACCCATGCCCTCTGACGCGTTTTAGATGGGGGCTATCGCAGCTGGCTGTCCTCCCGATTTCAGTAGATGTAGAAGCTTCAAGTGGAGCGGAAGGATACTTTGCGATTTGAAAACGCTGGCAGCTCCCGAGTGCAGTCTGTCGATACTGGCTCATACTCGTCACGTGGTCCGTGGATGACAAGATGACAGCACCTGTCATACGTGCAATACGCTGCATCAACTTTGGTTTCACACGTTGAATAGCGATAACATCGTGCTCGTGGAGGTATTCCTGAGCCTGGCGCGATATGGAATGACCAACGAAGAGCAAGTGCGGCCTCAATCGAACAATTTTTTCTACGATTATTTCCGTATACTTCTGTTCCTGCTCTATCAGGGTGCTAAAACTCGCAAGCTTAGAATGCGCCCGCTGAAAATCAATTCCACCTGCTAAGAGTAGAATGCGAGGTGTGTAGGCGCCCTTCTTCATCATCTTGTGCACAACATCCTTGCGGAAGACGATCCCGTCAACATATCGACACCCACTCAAAGTTCCTCCCGGTATCAGCTTGATTTTTATATAAGGTCGTATGTCCATGCTATCTGCACGGCGAACATCTGGGTTCACTGTTTTGCACGCCTCCTGAGCGAGATGCAATATTATTGGTGCCCAGTCTTGATCCCCGAGCGACAGTTCAGTCACCATTTTTTCTAATCTATTGGCTGCGCTTGACTTCAATTGTCTAGTATAATAAAGCAGGTCGCTCGCAGACTCTCTGTTCCTGGACGTCGCACTTAAAACAGAAATCGGGGCTACCGTCGAGGAGGTTCCGAGTAACCTCCGACGCAAGCTTGCCTCCACACTATCCACCACGGACCCTGGAGCACCCCAGGAGTCCGATCCACTCCAAGCGTCGGCAGGAGGCAATGGTGCTCGTGGAGACCTGCTTGTATGTGATCCAGCTGGTAAATCTGTAAAGCCTACCTCTTTGTGTTGGCCTTCTTGTGTAAGTTGACTACACGCCGCCTTACTTTGTGTAAGTTGACTTCTGGCAGACATGGCCGCCTTGTTCGCAGCATGGTCTGCATCTTCTTCAAATTCCTGTTGCAGATTCATCTGGTCCAAAGTGGATAGGCTTACGAGGTCATGAGTCGCACGACTCCCTGGCTCCTCAAAGCGGCTACCGATGCTCGGGCTACAGATTTGATACTGATCGGCGACGACGTTAACGTAAGACATTTGCTCCAGCTCTGATCGAGGTGCTTCGCTTTCCGCAGCGCGTGGAATGCTATCACCGGGCTTGCAACTTGTGGATGGTCTATATCGCAATGATACAGGTCGCATTCCAGCAAAGGGAAGGGTTGGCATCTTTGAAACTTGGTGATGGCACATTTTACACGCTCGGACCATGCCCACCAAAAGTACGGATCGACCGTCAACAGAATAGGACGAGCAAGAATGGCAGAAGACTTGCCCACATAATCGGCAATGATGCTTCCGACGGAACACATTGAATGGAAGCTCGCATTCGTAGCAGGTTTTGCATAGTCGGTCAGGCATCCAATACTCGCGTGTATACGGCGAGTCTGGGACAGTTTCATCTGATGCGCAAGATTGAGCAGGATCGGGCGTTTTTTCATCGGAATCGCACTCGAAAACATTTGGGAGTAGTTCCGTTGTGACTCGTCTTTTGGGGTCTCCCGGTATCGGGAAGGAAGTCAGCGTTGTGGGATCAGAGTCTTGCTGGGGACTAGCATACGCGCTCAGTAGGGACATGTACCATACGTTTTTTTCACTCTTTGGTCTCGGCGGTTCAGATGTCATTTTTATTGGTGTTACACCTTGCGATATCAGCTGATAAAATTTTAAGTTGTTTCCGTCCACTTGGCCTTTCGTATCTCCCACTAGCCTGAGCTAAAGGAAGCAAAGTAAAATCCTCCCTCAAGGGGAGGGTGAGCTCAGTTTCAATTAAAGATGCCAGAATGAAGGCCGACGGACCGTGCTTGGATGGCGCAGCCACCTCAGCCCAGCCACCTCAGCGGGGATGGAGGAGTCCGGATCCATTCTCCCCCTGCAGTTGAGCGCGGGGAAAGAGCGCAAACGCGAAGCGAGAGAAAAGAATGCGTGAGGTCTACGCAGAGAGACCGAGCGCTGGGTCCCAAACCTAACGAGATAGTAAACTCCGACACGGGGAGGCAGCCTAGTGGGGCTGCCCTGCCGTGTGAGGGTGAACTATCGAGGTTACGCAGTGGCGGTACACCGGCGTCTCTGTTATCCTCACGTCACCTCAGCTGCCGTAGTATACGGGGGCCGGGGCTACTGGACGAACGGGCAGAGGATCTGCCTCACTAGGTCCAGGAAGACTCTCCGTCTATTACAGTGCGGGAAGCAACTATAACAGGGTTAGAAAGTATTAAGAAAAGGGGAAGGATATAGGGTGGCTCTGTACCAGCGAGCCACTAGGGAGATACAAGACTCTCTATCTCTCTACTCAGCTTCGATTAAAGGTGCCAGAATGAAGGCCGACGGACCGCGCTTGGATGGCGCAGCCACCTCAGCGGGGATGGAGGAGGGTAGGGCAGGGCGGGTGCTTCATTTGTGCCGAAGGAGGGTGGTGGGCGGGCCAAAAAATATAAGCCGCGCCACCCCGGACCCCGGGGAAGCGGCGAGCTGGGGGACGGAGTTTCGTAACTCCTCCATTCGGCCAGCCACCTGACCCACAGTCTGCTGGATCTGCCGTAGGATATGATTTGCCGACTCGGGGTCAGGGGGCTCCTTTCTGCGTTCCTCCTCCTCGATTATCTCGCCATTAAGGTCGCTCAAGAGACCGTGGAGCCTTTCCTCAGAAAACTCTGATCTATCAGAATAATCATATGGTAGTAACTCAAACATCAAAGTCACGCCGTCGGACCCCGGGGAAGGCCATCCAGGCCGGCAAGAACCGGCGCCACCCCGCCCGCCTGGAATGGGCCGCCTCCGCGGAGTCCGCCACCTACCCCCCCGGCTTCAACAAGGAGCTCACCCGAGCCATCTTCATCCACCACAACATACCACTCCCCCGCGCGCGGGAAAAAAGGAGTGGGTCGTCGAGTCCACTGGCAAAAGTAAGCCGCCAGGTAAGTCGTTTTGGCCGAATGTAAGTCGCAAGTAACGGGTTAGGTAAGCCGTTGCGTCCGACCCCGGGCCGGGCGCCGGGGTGGCGCCACGGAATTCGGGGGGGGGGGGGCACTGCAGGAAATCCCAGGTGCGCTGTACCAGCGAGCCGCTAATGGGGCAAGATCCTCTCTGTCTCCCTAGTCCCGCTCCCAACTCGAACTGCCGGAGCCCAGCAGATGAGTCCGGCTTGGACCGAGAGCTTTGATGTCGGCGCGGGCAGGTTTCCAGCTCACAAAGTACCGGTTATCTTGGGGTGCACTTTCGATGAACGTTGTGAAATCTCAGAAGCTGCTGCAGTCAAGATGTGGTCATGAATTTCACTCGCACGGTGTCTTCATGCAGCAGGCCATTAGTGAGATTACCTATTTTTGGTGAATTGGGGACTCATCAAACACAAGGGGGGTGGGGGTGGCAGGTCCCCCTCAAAGAGCAACGCGGGGAAGTGCTTGCAGTATGTGAATTTGAGAAAAGCCGACACTCCCATGTCTTGATGTCAAAGTAAATGTACTGATTACTTGAGACACTGAGTCCGTCAGCTGCGGAACCCCGCTTGAACCTGAGAAACAGTGCTACTTCATTGAAAAAGTAGGTCCCACACGGTGATGAAACCACAACTTGAGATCTTGGTGATATTGCCATTCACGGTTGTACCTGCAATTAGGACCAGTGGACCCTTGGTCAAAATAAGACAATTTTTTCTACAATTCCTGTGCAGCATACGCTTGCAGAACCTACTTGAAAATCCTCATGAAGCAAAGTTAGCAACGTTTGCACATCTTTGGGCATAGCGTAAAAGATGTAAAAGAGCGTCTCCAGCTGAAACTTTGATAGATGGGAGCTACAGGATCAAATTAAAAGAGTGTCAGGCCATAAAGGTGGCGCTTAAGTATACGTTTTCAATGGTGGTGGCTGCATGTAGTAGCAAAGAGGAAGAGAGAACTGAGGCTCGCGCGTCGTCGGAGCTTCTGCCCATGGTGATGCAAAAGTCGAGTACAGGCACTCGGAAGAATTCAGGTTTAGACCAAGTGTTGTCAAGTCGGAGCCGAGTGCAAGCGTATTTAAATCTGCATTTGTCATGCGAATGACGTCAAGCAGGCCAAGAAGACCATATTTTGTCTGCTTTTCAACATCGGCATTGCCTAAGTGGGACTAATGTTCATAACAGACCAGGAAATGCTCATTGTTCACCATTTAGTTTCGAACCGTGTGGAGCGTTCGTTCCTGCGATTGCCCCATCAACACGTCCCGGGACATCCAGGCTAGATTTCATGCGGGTGTGCTCAGAAACATTGCTAAACGTCCGGGGAGGTGATACATTTGAAGAGTTGAGCAAGCCGTCGTTACAATTTTCTGTTGCCCCTGACGCCACGAGACTGAAGGAAGTCGACTAGAACCGGAGACGCTGACTGAGAACGATCAAAAGAAGATGTCGGAAGGGCGCGGCGCGAAACAGCAGCTGGGGATTCACCGATGACGGGTGACGCCTGCATTGATGCCATGATAGCTTGCGCGAATTATGGACAAGCACTGAGGAGTGCGAGCGCAGGTGATATAGTTGAAATGGACGATTTATTGGCTTCAGGTGAATCTGTAGAAAAAAAAAGAGCGCCCTCACGTAAACTTGGGGCAATATTAGGGTTTAGCTTTTTTAATTAGGGTTAAAATTAACAAACTCTGCATCTCGTTCACTGGCCAATGATATGGCGCTCAATATTGCGCCGGTCTTCATGCTGTCATTGTTATCACCTAAAAAAGAAGTCTCAACAGAGCAGGGAAAATTTGTAAGCACTGCAAATGCTGGTTTCGAATTGTATTGTGTCAGGATCTATAGGTCCTCGCAAGGCTGATTCTTTAAGTATAGTCGCCTGCGGCAGAGATTTGAACTCGACACACGTTTGAGTCATAGGTCCGCACAGGTGCTACATTGTCGGCGGTAAGACTATCATCACGGCCCAATGAAAGCGGTGCAGCTGATTGACTGCCAGGCAGTGCTGGAAAGTCCTCGGATTGCATGGCAAAGGTAGAGCTGCTTTCCTGACCAAAGTCATGGGCAGTCGTCCTTATTAGTGGTGAGTGGTCTACGAGAAGATGCTCATTCGCGTGGACGTTTGCGGGGAGACCATGCAGTTCTGTGCAGGTGAGCATGTCGACTCGTGATGCTTGCTCTCTTTCGATCATGGTCAACGCGTCACCACACGGCAGGTTGAGGCTAACCTCCATCAAGCTAAAGAATATGAACTGCTTCATAGATATGATCAGTACAAAGTGACACCGCATCGGTGCGTGTCCCGTGGGGTGCCGTGCGGCAGCTGCGTGCGACTACGAGGGTAAAAATGGAGATCTAGCACACTAAAAAATGGATGCAGGGCCTTGACCCAGCAAGCGCAGGAAATTCTGACATATCGAACGGCGCCCTGCGCGTTTCTCGTCCCAGTTCACTAGGGACATGGGTTGCGTGAATTCCACCAACTGGGTTACTTGGTGGATCACCTGATTCGAGGCGACAATGAAAGCTTGGCAATCATGAGGGCACCAAAAGTAAGGCACCAAAAGTGTCTGGCGCACCCTGAGCTGAAACTGATGTTGCTATTTCCGTCGGTCCTAATGACGAGCCCCTACTCAGCATCGCAAGGAGGTCACTGGAAGGAGCAAATCTGTTTGGAGCTATTTTACGCTAATGAAAATGTTACAATTGACACAGTATTCTGACGTCATAGGATTCTGAGGAATCTGTAGCGCACGTCCCGCGTTTGAAGTAAACCCAGCTGCGTCAGGCTTTGAAACATGCATATAATTACTAAGTACGCCGTGGAAAACATGGATGCGTGGCATAGGCGCCATTACTTGTTGCACTGAGTGACCCAGTAAATGGCAGCGACGAGCCTGTCCCAGAACCTAAACATTACCCATGAGGCGACGTCAGAAGCACAGTGTCACCACCGGCTGGAGTAGACAATATTTGGTCTTCGCGGTTATAGTAGTAGCGAGAAGCGTCAAATTCGTCCTACGCGGTGACGGATGTCAGTTTAAACAAGTCATAGAACTTTCAACCTGATCATCTTGCGTTTGGATATTGTCTTTGAAGTAGGCAAGCTGACGAGAGCGCGCATTTGACATGGTGCGCGGATCGCTGGCCAGCTTGTTTTTTTTTTCGCCCGGCGCTCCGCCGCCTCCGGGCGGATCTGACGAGATGTAAATCCGGGACGGGGAAGCATCCTGGCTGCGATAGCCTGATGCCCGCCTTCATACGTGGGGTCGATGTTAAGAAGCGATTGTGGCTTCTGTTAGAATCCGAGTATGCTAGTACGAAGCACCAGCATAGTATAGCATGAGCATAGCCAGTATAGCCTGGGATTTAGTAACTGGTCTTATAACAATCCTGGATAGGCACGGGGACGAGGGAAGGGGGAGGTAGGCGAGGCCCTTCGGGTGTACGTAAGGGCTGGGACGCACGCGGCATGTCACAGAACACACCCGTGCGCTCCCCGTGAGGTTCAAGGCACGGCAAAGTCGGTCCCAAAAAGCACATTGAATTGTCGCGCACGGCTGCATTTGCCAAATTCAAGGCGGCTAAGGTCAATGAGGCCAGTGATAAAATCTGCGCTGGCGTAATCGCCCTCGGCCCTGTGCAACTGCCTGGGGCTCATGGCAGCGTCGTGCAATTGTGACACAATTCGGTTGCGACGCGCGATTGCAATGGCATACACATGCTGGTGAGTATGTATATCAACGAGAAGTCGGGACCGGGCTTGATTCATAATTTTTCTTGCAGTATCGGTGTATTTGATACGACATTCAAACCATGCAGCTCCATAATTCGGATCCGCATTGGCACATTTGAGATCGAGGCGAGCAACAGCCACCACGTCAAGAGCACATTCAAGCTGTGCCTTGGACACATTTGGCAGATGAATAACCTCGCCAATGGCCGTATTACCGCTCCACGGCTGATATTGCTTGCGCTCCTGGCGCATGGTGCTGAGCAGGACCCTTTCAAGGGCCTCTAAGAGCTGAAGACGCGCCTCCTCCACAAAGGAGTCCCCGTACTGTGGTGTGAACTGCGTGGCAAAGTTGAGAGCAGCTCGCGCCGCACTGAGATCAAAGGTCTGTGACACCGGTGAGAGCCGTGCTCGAGCACCTTCACACCAAACCTCACCAGACTTGGGCACCTCCTTGAGTGCGCGCTTGAAAGCTCGTTGCATTTCCTCATTCGGGGAGGATTTGCGCCTAGTAAAAACAAGTGGTGTCAGAAGTCGGTGGCTGGCTTTGGTGCCACTCACAGTTGCTGAATTACAACAGCCCAGAGACGACCCGTAGTCCCGTGGTGTCCGAGAGCTAGTTTGCCAGAACGAGCAGCTTTGTCATAGAGCCCAGCGCGATGTTCAAGGAGGACAGACTCCAGAGTGAGCTTCCATTCACACTTTGACTGGTGGTATGCTCGTCGAATAATTGATCGAGCTCTGTTTACCTGAGCTCAATTTCGAGTGCAGAATGAAACAGTAATTTTGTCTACCTGGTTCGTATATTCCTCTAGCCGTGCGCACTCGAGATGGACATGAAAACGGGACTTTGAGGGAGCTTCTCTCAATGCACGTGCAAACAGGAGTAGCTACGATAGCACGAGCGTATTGATCTACTTGCAATGGCATTTCCCCGGGTCAAATGCTAAACCCCGATACTCGCTGCGCGCTCTTGATGACCGCGACTAAGTTCCATCCGACCGCCAGCTAGCCAAACTTTCCAGCGTAGATTAGTCGGGCATGTGCGAAGAGCTCGTACGTAGGATCGTCGCGCCCTATTCAAGTTCCCCTTACACCTGGCTGTTTCCGCTGCAGAGGCCGCAAATCGCTCCTCGATTTGTGCCCCTTCAAAATGCACTTTCCAGATCAGTTCTTTACTTATTAGGTGCAGAGCTCTCTCAAGCATGATGTGTGTTCGCACTGGACCCTTGCTTTTGTACTCTCCATCTACGCCAGTCTCTGTGTCCAGGCGTTCGCACACACGAAATGCTCCGAACCACAACGGACCATATCGAGGGATTTCCACCAGGCCTCCCTCAACAATATCCAACGCGGCGGAATCCCGTCCCACCCTTTCTTCTAGGCGAAAGGCCTCGTAGTATATAGGCCCATACCACGGTATACGTTCCATTAAAAATTTAAAAACTTGGCGAGAGACAATAACATTTCCGCATCTTGCTTCAAGGAGGGCACCTTCCAGCACCGCACGCCACACCTTGTCGATGGCTGCATGCTTTAAAGGCGAAATAAGCGCACGTGCGGCTTCAACCTGTACATTTCGGGCGTGCGGCGGCGAACTAGTGGGCTGCACAGACGAATTGCGCCATCAATCTTATCGGCATATTTGATCGCACGTGTCAGCAGCGCATCGGAGAGTGCACAGAATTCAAGTCCCCGGCGAACAACAAGACCTGATCTTATCAGACAACCACACTCTTCCTCCATTTTTGATAGTTCGAGCCATCCTTGGGCGGCATACGGCTGCATATCACACGCTACTCGACACAATCTATGAGGTAGCTTTGCGTGAGGGTTTGATGATCATTGTGTCTTAGACACCGCCCAAACCGCCGTGCTTCACGCCAATCGCCACTGCGTTTCGCAGCATCTGCAAGCTCCACGAAGTGTCTCTGCGCTTCCTTGCGATTCGGAATTCCAGCATAAGTCCTTTTTTTTTCCCGTTCGTGTCTGAAAGCTTCTTGCGGGCATGCATTGGCATCATTACTCAGGAATATTTCTTTTCTGGATGCTGCAACTTCACGTCTTCCACGCCTCGGCGGTGTATCATCACATCCTGGTGTAGAATCGAAGTAATTTTGACGAAGAACAGAGCTCACTGATTGGTACCGGTGCCCTGACGATAGGGTCACTACCGGCGGTGGA